ATCTATTCCAACTTCTTTTTACAAATGAGACAATTTAGACTCAGAAAGCTCACCATTTGTCTAAATTCACTGGTTTAAGTTAGAAATGTAGTCTTGGCATATAAAACATCTTGCTTTGACAAATAAACGATACTGCATCCTGTAAGATTTTTTAAAATTTATCCTCCTTCTATCTTATTTATCATAGGCAGAATCCCTCTGATAGCATTCACTCTGTTTAATAGAATGCAAATGATGAGACTTTCAAAAGTCCACATTTTAGCTGTAGATTTTTGGGCAAAATACTTAACCTCCGTAAAATAATAATTGTATCTTCATTTTTTTTTTTTGAGGACTATTTTTTTTTTTTTTTTGAGTTGGAGTCTCACTCTGTCGCCCAGACTGGAGTGCAGTGGCCGCTCCCGGCCACCGCAGCCTCGACCTGCTGGGCTCCACTGATCCTTCCACCTCAGCCTTCCAAGTAGCCGGAATTACAGGCATGCGCTACCACGCATGCCTGTAAAAAAATCAACCACCAGCTGATTTTTTGATTTATTGTAGAGATGAGGTCTCGTGCCCAGGCGGGTCTCGAACCCGCGGGCTCAGGCAATCCACTCACCTCAGTCTCCCAAAGGCGCGGGATTACAGGCTGAGCCACCGAGCCTGGCTGGGACTATTATTTTAAAGCAGGATTTATTGAAAGGACAGAAAAGCTCCCACAGTGGGAGGGGACCCGAAGGGGTTGCTCCTTTTTTGAGGACTATTAAGAAACCTTAGAGTACTTACTAACTCACAGTAAGGAGTCAATCTGTGCTAGCCCGATTACATTTCCTGTCTCTCCAGTCAGCCATCCCACGTGATTTCAGCTCCTCCAGACTTGAGAAAGTATCTGAGACTCATTTCCCCAGCAGCCTGTGTGGAGGTGAGTCTGAATCTCACTATTATTTTGTCTTTATATGATCTTATCTTCTACCTTACATTATATAGATCTGCAGGCTTGTATAATAACTAAGGGTGTGGTACCTAACTGAAGTCAGACAAACCAATTTTTATGCTGTCACTGAGCCCAGTAACTGGTGATTTGTACAAGAAGAATGAAAACAACTTAAATTCTAAGAAACCTCAAGAAACTCTTCCATCAGGGATCTATGGATGGGCTTCAGGGGAACAGGAAACCATTCCATATTTAATTGAAACAAGTTTATTAATCAACATATAAATTAAAAATACATTTGCTTTAGTCTTGTATGATAATTTTTTATTCTAAGACAAAATAATTGGTTGTTCTGAAAAATTTGTTGGACGAAGACTGGGGTTTGGGAACATGATAAAACACCTAAATAAGTCAAAGAAGATTTATAAAAGAAGGACACAAGGGAGGAAGTTTTATGTACAACCAGGTTGGCTGGGATTAGAAAGATGCTAGACTTCAGACAAACCTGCCCTGAGAACATTTTTCCTTTAGGCCATTTTTTTTTTTTTCTTGTTGAGTCAGGGTCTCACTCTTGCTCAGGCTGGAGTGCAGTGGCATCATCACCCCTGCTACAGCCTTGACCTGAGGGGAGACCCCTCTGCCTCAGTCTTCCAGGCAGCAGGAACGACAGGCGAGTGCCACCACGCCCGGCTAATTTTTATAATTTTATTGTAGGGACAAGGTCTCGCCAAATTGCCCAGATTGGTCTCGAATCCCTGAACTCAGGCAATCCTCTTGCCTCGGTTTCCCAAAGTGCTGGGATGACAGGGGTGAACCACCATGCCTGGCTCGGGTTTTCTTAACCTCAACACTACTGACAGTTTGGACCAGAGAATTCTGTGGACTGTCCTGTGTCCTGCATCTACTGGGATTCCTGACCTTTATCCACGAGGTGCCCGTAGCATTCTCCCGCTCTGGGCCATGACAGTCAGAAAAGTCTCCGGTTATCTCGCCAGACACCTCCTGAAGGGGATGCCCCCTTTCCTCCTCGAGCACGACTGTGGCAAAGTGGATATGCATGTGCGTTTTTTTCCTGGAAGGCTCATCAGTTTCATCATATTCTTAAGGAAAGAAAACACATCTCCAGTTGTAGCTGTGGGGAAAAGGGACGTCACCAGGGCACATCAAAAGGGTGCACTTTGTGAATTTATCCCCTCATGCCTTGCTTTCAACTACTTTTGAAGAGGCTCATCGCAAAAAAACAATACCTGGGAGCGCACCTGTTTCAGAAACTGCTGCTCCCAAACGGCATGCTTCCTGAAACAGGCTCCTCAGCGGAGACTCCCACGGTCCTCTGAGGGACCCGGCTCTGAAATTCCCAAGGCGTGAG